GACTATGTTTATGGGCTTCTATGACTCACTTTGTCTGGTGTTAGGAACTTATGCTGATTGACAAAGGTGAATCTGGATAAAAGCTTTTTGTTCTTTACCTTTAGTCAATAGAGTGGAATTGTAAGCTTTGCATTATGAGTTCTTATGTGTATGTTACATATGGGTGCAGGTGGTCTCTGAAGGCATATTACTCTTGGCACTTCCCTTCAGGTTGCCTATCCCTGTGTACCCTTATACAAAGAGAAAATGTAGCATCTATAGCTTTACCACTGCGGTGGGTTAGCCTTAGCTAGACACCAAACTCCCACCCAGCCACTCCCTGCCCCCCCCAGCCTCAGTGCAATGGAGTAGAAAAGAAAAGAAGAAAAGCAGGAATGAGAAAACTTGTTAGCTGAGATGAAATGGGGAAATCGCTTATCAATTACTGTCAGGGTTAAAACAGACTTGCTTTGGTCTTAAGTTTAATGCTGATTAAAATAAGTATTTCATTATTAATTTGGGTACTGGGAAAGAAAAAAGCAAATATTAAAAGAGCAGTTTAAAATCAACCCCTTCCACTGCCTGTTTTCAGACTCACATCCCTCATGAGCCCTCTCCTCCCCAAGGGCTGCAGGGGGTAATGTTTGTTGGGCTGCTGTCTGCTCCTAACAGTTCTGTCTGCCTCTCCTTCCTCCTTTTCACCTGCTCCAGCATGGGTCCTCTGCAAGGGCCACGTCTTTGGGAATATCCACCTGCTCCAGCATGGATCCTCCACGGGTTGCTGTGCAGATAGATATCTGCTCTGTCATGAAGCACCTCCTCCTTTCCCTCCTCTTCTGTATGCTGCAAACTCTGTGTGAAAATGTTTGTGGAAAAGTTTCCTTGTGATTCCCTATGGTATATGGGGCCTAATAGTGAATGGAGATAAATACTGTGTGAGTTCTGCAGAGAATCTGTCTGGCCTTAGACAACAAGTAAGATATTGCAGGCAAGTGACAGATAATGTTAGCTGGAAATCATAATGGTGGGGAGCTCTTAAAGTATCAGAGTGGTATTTTCGAAACCAGTAACTTGGAAGGGACGTGTAGATCAGAAGCTGCAGGAAGTTTAAGAGCGAGGGCCAAGAAAGGATAGGAAGAAGAGGAGATGAAGTCTGGAGGAGATCAAGGCTTTTGCCTCTCGCACCTGAGTTAGAGGTAAGCTGTGAATCCCATCTGTGGTAGAGGCAACAGCAGCAGCTGCTCACGCTAGTCCAAATCTGTCCCTGTCCTCATCAGTACTGGGGGCCAATTATGAGCAGAAATAAGTATATTTTTATGTATTATTGATATGATATGGTACTACTTGAAAATTTTCTCATAATTTGGTCCCAGCATTCAGTAAATATTCATATTTTATTTAATATTCCAGATTTGGGAATGCCATCACCAATACCATATGTGGTGGAACATACAAAACTTGTGTCATTTCCATAACAACTTTTGCTTCTTACTGTTTCCATTATAAGACTTTTGCAAAATTGTAGCTACATTTTTGCCTCTAAGGAAAGTATTTTGGTTCATTGCATCCCAAAATAGCTCAGTTTTTAGTAGTTACAGATAAATATTTTAGTTCTGTGCATAGACTACTTTGAAAATGCAGCCTGAAAAGGGAAAACTTTTTAAGATCATGATTACCTGAAACCAATCACAGTGGAATAATATATATATTTTAAACTCAGGCAACAGCTATTCTAGTCACAGTTTGGAATCTATTTGTAAATATAAAATAACCAAAGCATATCTGATTGAGATTAGAGAATGACTTGCTAGATCTTGCTACTCAAATCTGCTAAGAAATGAATCTTCTCATTTGTCAAATAGAACTGTATCATTTTTCAATTAATTTATGAATTGTGATTTGAACTGCAAATCAAACATATGGTATGCCAAGGCATAGTAGAAAGTATCTCAGGGAAACGCAGACAAAGAACAAATTGTGGCAATTGGGATAATGCTAATAAAACTGGATGCACTGGATGAGGGAAATTGTTCTGATCTAGTTAGCTAGAGATGTGTTTTGTGCATACTTACAACCTTTATGCAATTGGCTAGCAAATGTTAGTGGCTTTTGAAGTTAGTAATGCTGTCAAAGAAAACACACAAGAAAACAGCCAAGACTTTGTTGCAAGTACTTTCTTGCAAGTACTTTACTAAGAGTATGAAATAGTTTCTAAATGTGAGGCCGAAGTTTCTAGACCAAGCTTCTGGACAGCAGAATTCATTATGGATTTAAAAAAGAAAAGCTTTCTCTTTTGCTTGCTTTGATAAGAAAAGTCAGTTTGTTATTCTTTTTTTTTTTCTAATAAACAGATACAAACAGATATCAAATTCTGACCACCATTTGGCATTCGGCATTTAAAGTGCATAATAATAAGACTTTGTTGTGTAATTTGGGTTTCAACTCTTTACCTGGCAGGCTGAGAATTCTAAAACAGGGGAATAAGGAATCACAAAGGGCAAATGGTCTTTTTACACTAAAATGGCCTTCTTTGCTGTCCTTCTAAAACAGTCTTGCAAGTTTTCAGCTGAAATCTGTTCATATGTACAATACTGAACAACAAGGCAAACAAAAGAGCATAATTAACTGTCCAAAATGAATAATAGAGAATAGCCTATATGGAGTAAATCTGAATTTCCTTGGAGAAGAAATATAGCACTTTTTTCCCCAGTTTTCCTCCTTTATACATTTTTTGTGTACATTTTCCTGATACACTTTTCTGCTGCACATCTTTTCCTGTGTGTGCGAACAGAGCTTCAGTTAATGCTATTCATCTTTTCAGTCCTGTGGGAGGAGAGAATGAAATACCAGTATCCTTTTTCATATACATATAATATATTTGATGCATGTCTGGAAGAAGATTCTGAATTCAGAAACTGAAGACATTGCTTGCAACTTGCCACTAGCAGAGCGGAACTACATTCACTGAGCTTGAGGGAGAAATATGAAACAGAAACAGCATGAGAAAATTCTTGATATATTTGGTAACTGCAGGAATGAGTTTACATTCTTGACAAATGAATAGGATGCAGAAATGTCACAAAAAGGGACTTGCCAGGGTCTACTGACTAATATTGAAGTTCTTTAAATTGGGTTGTTATTTTTTCTGGTATCATGTTTGTCTGGAATAAAATAGTTAGACCCAAATTTAGTGAAAACCTTAAGGACGTGCATAGGATAACCGTATGGTTAAGTGTTTTTGATATCTTCTGTAACTCTTCAAGACTTGTCCAAAGACTATTGGGATTTGACTTAAGTTAAAATAGTGACTAGGTTTGACGCATTTCAGTTCTGCTGGTGTTGGCGACCCGCAGGGTTGTAGTCGTAGCTCTTCCACATATTTCCAAGTTGCAAAGGGAAATTACAAAAATACAAGAAGATTCACTACACTTTGTATGTTTGTTTTAGAGGAGCAAATCCTATTAAGCTAGTTATCAAAATGACCAGATCTCTGCTTTTCCTGGGGAAGCAAAGGAAATAAAAGGTGTCAGAATTGAGAGCTCAGTTTACCACCATCCTTCAGTGGTCATGATAATTAAATATTGCCACAGATTCCATAGTTTCATGTTAGTTTCTTCATCGTTTGAATCTTCAAATCAAAACTGATCTCTGTATCAACAGCCCACTGTTACTACTGTCTGGCAGAAGAAGTTGTAGGCTGTATATAATAATGGGCATGTTTTATCAGAGGTCGGATTAGAGCTTCCAGCCTTAGTATTTATACATTATATAAGATTTTCTGTGGTGATGATTTGGGACATTTCATTTTATATTAAATTACATAGCAGTATCAAAGTTTATCTTAAAAATACACCCAGCTAAAGCAATATTATAAAGTTGAATGTTTTGAGCTATTTTAAAATCAATTTTCAGATAGGATTCTTTGTTATAGTATACTTTGAATGTTTTCTTGTAAAAAATATCACGTTTTGCCTGTTCCTGTGATGATCATAGGAACAAAAGCAACCAAACTCAGCTTATCCTACCTTTTCCCTATGTTTCATACCATCACCTCTTCAAAATCATTTTGGTTTCTAATAAGAGGATTGGCAGAGAGCCTGCTGCATTGCTTGTGGAAAGCACATATGTTACCAGCAAACACAGGGCTGGATTTTCAACTCAAGTCAAGTGCGCACAAAAAATTAACTTATTCCTTTTGTTTCTTGCTCACTGCAGTATCTCCTTGTAGCTATTTGTTTTGCAAATACACTTCTCAAGCTGATGCTATCCCTCTCATTTGGAATTCTGGGGGTTTCTAGTATTTAGCTTTGAGTCTCAGTTCATTCCTTTCACATTACACAGATTAGTATGAAAACATGGGTACAGATGAAATAGTGTCTTCTGCTGTGGAAATGTCATGAAAGATTGCATCACCATAACATAACAGAAAGCCAAATGGGAATTATTACACTGATTTAGTGCTGAAGTTTGATCTAAGCAGTTTCTGCACTTTTCAGTGTATTTTATAGAATGGATTTTGACAAGTAAAATTTTTTCCCACTGTAACATTAAATTCTGACAAAACAGTCATTTAATTAGCTTTTCTGTTTGAAACAGAGCCTGTGCCTATTGAAGTGAATAACAAGATTTCACTTCACTGGGGCAAGACAAAGCAGACAGCCGGGAAGTGCAAAGTGGTGCGTGGTTCAAAGTTAAAACCCAAAAGCTGCAATATATTTTTCTTACTTGGACAGCATTCATTAAAAGTTGATCTGTGTTTTGCAGATATGCTTTTGTTATTTAAATTTGTTGAACAGTCCTTATGCTTTTAACAATTAACCACAAATAATTCAACTAGAAATGATGCATGAACTTGATAAGTGCACCTATTCAAGTCAACAGTTTCTAGCAATATCCTGCCCATTTTATATTAATAGGTGTTTTTATGTCAAGTCAACACTTACTTAAATTAGTTCTGCAGACTGTGGCTGGGTGTTTGCCTTGTCTTGATAATTGCGTATTGATTTCTTCCTTATACTTAGGATATGATGCTTCAGCTGTTTCGGGGACTGGATTTTCTGCATTCACATCGTGTGGTGCATCGGGACCTGAAACCCCAAAATATCCTTGTAACCAGCAGTGGGCAGATCAAGTTAGCTGACTTTGGCCTTGCACGAATCTACAGTTTTCAGATGGCTCTTACATCAGTGGTAAGTTTCTGGAGGCTTTTAATTTTTCTGTTAATTTGGCACAGTGCTTTAGTCTCTATGGCCCCGATAAGTAAAGTATTTAACTCTGCTTCTAAAACCATCTCTACTGTTGAAGTTATTCGTGTCTGCAAAACAATTGCTTTCCTGCCTAGACTGAATTTGTTGTGGTTACTTTGTAAAAGTAATCAATTACTGATTACTGGTTCTAAATTAAATCATGACTGATCACTGAAGGATAGGTATGTGCTAGTTTTCTGAAACCTCTGCAGTCTAGCTTCTGTTGTGATTTGGGCTTGTTTTTCATGTTAAACCATTTAAGTATGGTGAAAATTTCCAAAGTATACCTATTTTGAGATAAAATTCATGTTGATGCTGAAGTAATCTTGCCTGAAAAAAATACACAGATAATTTTGGAAATGCCACACTCATACCTGTGATTTCCCATCTGTGTGAATATGGATTTGGTGTTTGCTCCCATATTTTAGCAAGTGATTCCACATAGCAATGAGTTAGAGGCAGCTGAAGTGGACCTGGCAGCTAAAATCACAGCTATTTCCCAAACTACCTGTTAAAGAGAACTTGCAGTATCTCTAGGTCCCCTGCCACTGTTGCCCCTCTCCAAGGATCTCCCCTGCTTGTCCTTGGCTCAGACAAGAGCTTAGTCCCAGAGGATGTGGCCTTCTCCTGCATTCATTCTTGTAGGAAAGCTCTGCCAGCCCTTTGCTTTTTGACCCTGTTTCCACACTTGCTGTCCTTGCCTCCAAAATCAGCTGTTGTTAGCTTGGCACACCTAAGAGTATTGAAGAAGAACAGTGCTGTGTACACGTTGGTTGTCATTTGTTTGTTTTTGTTGCTTGCTCATGAATAATTTTCTATTTTGTGTTCCAAGTATCACAACTGCTGTGGTATTATTACCTATGCTAAAGGCAGGCAAGGGAGAAAAGGAGAAGAGAATCTGAAAGGTGTCCACTTTGCATTTTGCACTGTACTGTAGAAGTTAACCTGGCTCACGCTGATAAAAAGCAATCCACTGTTACTGCTGTAAGAGTCTCACTACCACTCTATGAGGTAACAGTGACATCCTAGGTTCTGGCATCAGTAGCATGAAGGCAGGAAGCAGCAGCAAACTAAAACATCATCTTGGTCAATGTACGAAAGTATCCTCTTCACATAAAGCATAAGTAAACTTGTGCTTCAGGATTGGTTTTGGGTTTTTTCTTCCATTGCTTGTAGGTTGTAGCCTAAACCAAAGCTGAAAGAATATCTCAGCTGAGGACAGGGAGGGCTGATAATATTGTAAGTCAAAACAAAGCTCTGAAGAAAAGGAGAGAAAGGTTGTTCTTAAATTCCTGTAATCTTTCATCAGTTAGTCAGAAACAGTAATAGTTGTGAGTGTTTGTTTCTGTTGATCCATGAAATCCCTTAAACTAAAACTGTGGAGTTATCTATGGCTGCCAGCAGTGTGCTTTTGGAAAGCTGTGCATTACATGAGGAGAAAACATCTACAGAACTGTGCTGGAGTTTGTCCATGATTGATCATGTAGCCTGCATAGGAAGGAAGGTCAGAAGACCCAGAAATACAACGCTAATGCATCCTAATACACTTACTGTGATAAAACCGTACCAAGATCTGCTTGTATGAGAACACTGCCAGAATTCTTATGTGAAAGGTATACCTGTGCTCAAGTTATCTAATACTTGCCTGCTGGAAGTAGTGGCTCAAAACCCATGTGCTGATATCCTTAGTACTGCTGTGAACAAGAGATCCCTAGGCTGATGGTGTCCATGTGCAAGAAGGCTTGTGTTAACACAATGCCACTGTCATTGCAGCTATGCTGAAGAGTGTTAAAATAGTTGAATTATTCAGGTGCCAAGGACAAGTAAAGTGTATGGATCTAGGCATGAATTATGGCCTTCACACCTGAAATTTACTCTATTAGGATTTTCTGTTTTAAAAATCAAAGCTGTGACCAAAGACAGTGTATTGATAGAATGTTCATGCTGATGGCAGGCCTAAGAGAAAGTATGCTTTCTTAAGCTAAAAAAATAGTGGTTTTTGAAACACCTTGCAATGTGATAATGTGTGGTTTTAAATGTCGGTCTTCGTTGCTCCTTCCAGAATTTGCATTGGTTGGAGACTTACTATATGTGCATTAGCTGGCCCCATAAGGCCATGAATTCTCCTTTTCTGAACTTAGCTTTTATTTTTGAGAAGTTGCTTTGGAGTGCTAATCCTTTTTTGCTTTTTTCCTCCACTAACATTCAATTTTTTTAAAAAACCTCTTCTGTTTTTTAAACACAAAGAAAAAGATATTACTGACTTTATTGTCCCCAAAATGAAGTCTACATTGCAGACCCTTGCCAGGCAGTGAGTAGACTTTCATTGAATTCCAGATTTGTTTTGATGTGTTTGCAGAAAAAATACAGCCTTATGAAAAACAGCATATATCTAAACATATGTCAATTAATAAAACTCTGAGCTTGCGAGGATTGATTTTGGATCTTTATTAAAAAGTGATAATGCAGACAGGCAAGGATAAAAAGCACATTGCATGTGCTATCACGGTGATCAACACAAGGGCTCTGCAACATTTCCTTCAAAAGAGAATCTTTCTGCAGGATGAACTGCTACAAGAAGCATCTTTTGAAGTATCAGATCATTCCCAAGATGCATCCTCATTCTTTCCTCACAAAGGAACTCTTCAACTGGGACAAAAAGAGCTTGCCATGAAAGTAATCCAGTACAATCCAAACCAGCCCTGGTGCTGTGGGTGCTGCAAGTGGTAACTTCAAAGCAGGCTCTCTCTGACAGCCAGTTATTTCTCCAGTGCTGAAGGTCTGTTGTCTGGGTGTGCTGCAGTCGTTTTAGAGACCTCTTGGTATTTTCTTTGGTGACTGAATGAAAGATTCAGACTAATGTTACGCATCCTTGGGGGGGCAGGGTGGAGATCAGTGCTACCAGCTGTGGTCAGGCTGAGTGCTGATACAGGTCTGAAATAACAGCATGAGAGAGAGAACGAGGTTGGGGCGGGGAGTCTCAGATGGAGGATAATAGAGCACGCTTTCAGTTTCATCCTAAGTTAGCCTCTTTTTGAGTGTTTGGTCTTGGCCCTTGGGGAAATTTTGAATAGGCTTTGTGATAGCAGAGAAGCTCCATAGGAGAGAAGAGGTGAATTGATGTGACTTTGTAATTTTAGAGTCTGATGGTAAAAGCTAATGAACTATCTACATTTTTCTGTGGCTCAGAAAAATGGGCTGTCGGTTTTAACTTTCTCTCAACAAAGGAGCAGGTGGCCGTCTTGAAAATTTGAAGTTGCATAGTGAAAAAGAAGTAAGCCATTCATCTGTCCTTTCCTGACTTCTAGCTCCCTTAAAGAAAATAAATGAAGCTGAATCACGGCGCAGCAGAGCGCTGAGATAAGCGCACACAGTTGTGATCATAGCATGTAGGTGGAGCTGGGGATGTTCAGCTTTTAAATCATGACCTGCCTTAAAGAACCTGAGTGAAACTGGCAAGATGTTACTAACACACAATGCTTTCTTTGAAAACATGTGTGCTTTACCTTAGATGGCAGCACTACTGATGTTTTTTTTCCCATGAAATGCAAACAAAATTGTTTTATGTCTTCCCTTTAAAAAAAAGTTTGCTTTTAGATTTACTGAACATCAGAAAGGACAATGTATCACTTTCTGTTCTGATGCCCTAAGATGTTTAATGCTGGGCTCTGCTAGATTGACAAAAAAAAAACAAAAATCCCATAGTTATTGTCAGTGAATAATTTTAGATTACGCTAGCATTTTATTTGAGTGTTTTTCTTCAGGATAAAAACTTTCCATCCGTTTCCTGGCAGTCACTTCAGCACAAATGGTTTACATGTCACATCATGCAGGAACTTGGGTTTCGTTTTGTTGGTATAGTAGCAAGGGAGCATAAAATAAGTTTCACTAACTGGGCTTATTTTGTAAAATAATATATCAATTAGTTACAGCAACAAAAGGAACAATAAAAAAGATGGAAAAAAGTTCTTCCAAAAGAAAAGAGCACTTTCCTGTTTTCTGCCCAGTGCTGCACTGTAAGATACTAATAAATGCCACTTGTTAGTAAATAAATACTGTGAATGTAGGCCCTTGTTTGAGCTAATATGATAGTTAAGAGCTTGGAAACAACACAGAGAAATTTCTTCTGCTTTGATTCATTCTTTCTATCTTTTCCTTTCTTTATTCAGCCACCTTTCAATGACACTATGCTTCCCAAAATCCAAATATTTATGTGTATGTAATAAATCCTGCAGAGTCCGTTCCTATGCCAGATATGTTCCAGGAAAGCCCGAGTCTGCTTCTTTGCAACTTCAGCCTGAGAGGCGTAGGGTAACCCTGAGTGAGCCTGATTCAGCAGTCTCCTTATAGCTCACAGTTAACATCAAACACAAGGGTGAGCCTACAGAAATTAATCAAGAACCTGCCTCTGGTGAATCAGAGGCACAGTCTGGGCCGTGTGAAGAGGTGCCCCAGTGGAATTAGTAAAGCAACGCTGGATTTTGTGTCATATGGATTTGATAAGAACATAAGTCTTGCTTCTCGGACAGGTGGAGATGACGTCGTTTTGGTATGCACTGAGTCTTCACTGATATGAGGAAGCACAACACCTTAGGTCTGAGCCCTTCTTTAGCTCTTCCGTCACGGTACATTTCTCCAGTCCATCCAAGTGTCCCTGAAAAGGAAAATGAGTCACAGCCAGCCAGTCAAAGGATCAAAATATGTGTTGTTGAGCTTTTGAGTGCTGCTGCTGAAAGGTTGTGGTTATGTAGGAATACATTGTGATTAAATTGGTTGCCTTATTTAAGGAAAATCTCTCTTCCCTACTAATATAGACTTATGCATAAAAGCTCCATGTATCTTGCTTTGTGAAGCAAACAACCAGATAGCATCCTCTCATATAGGAAAAACTATTTCCATCATGTAAAATGGGTCATTATCTCTGGAGCTATCTTAAGAACAAA